TAATCAAAGTTTAGGAGTGGGAGCTAAAACGTCATTTCTATGTTTAAAACTTACATAAAAGTGACGTGACGTGACATTTCAAATCAATATATCATCGAAAGTATTTGTTTCTGTAAAAAATAAAAATTGTCTAATGTTTTAAAATAATCTGCCAGATCACACGGACATTGAAAATTAAATTAATTATCTATTCTATAATGTGCCCGGTATATGGCAATAGACTCACCCCCTATTACATGAGACTCGTAATATAAATATTGAATAGTGAGTGTTACATTGTATAATTGTTGTATATGTGCACATTGTGCACCTTCGCGAACATCTTTTGTAAATAAGATATACTTATACAAACTTCATAAAGAGTAACCCAGCATTCGCAAAAAGAATTTATGCAATTAAAATGGTAGTTCAAAGTTCAAGTGTGCGAATAGAGAAACAACTCTTTGATTCTTTATATTAGGTAGTATGTAATTACAGATAGTATAATTTAAACCGTCAAACACCGCGAGGACACCGGTGACCGCAACCTATTGTTCTTTAATTGTGTCTATAATGACGGTACTCAAAGGGTTAAATTATATACGGTATCCATCATCGTACTCCATGATACATAGAAAAATGTGTTTAAATACTTTTTACAATTTAACCATGCAGTTTGACTGTCGCTAGTTTCTCCTCAGGGGAAGGTAGAGGGAACCAGATCACGAGGCAGATCACCTATGCACTGGACTGATGAAGTCAAATCAGCAACAGGAAACCCAGTTTCAGACTGCGCCAGACAATCCACAAACAGGGAGAGATGGCGGAAGATCGTGAGGAAAGCTGTATCGGCCACCAACACAAATACGGCCGCCTCAACGTGACCACGACCGCTCTGCCAAGAGCGGAACGACAGAGAAGAAGAAGTTTCTCCAGATTATAGGGGGTTTAATTTAAGTAAACGTCACGTAAGTGGTAATAAGAAAGATAACGACCGCCTCTTATGTAGAGGAGGTCTATACTCCAGCTGTGGCCTTTATGAGGTGTTGATTCCGATGACGCTTAGTATAAAAAATTTGCAGTATCCATTTTAAAGTTTCATGGAGAACCTAACGGTCGCGGAGAACCTAACGGGTAACCGGGGCTCCGGCTCGACGTGCAGGAGAGGGAACGGGGTGGTTTTTAGTCAGTAAGAGTCTGACACTCCCTTCCGCCTCACCCAGGCGGGAGCAGTCATTCGATGATTTTCCCCCTTAAAAAAAAAGACCCTGTCAAGAGACTACAAACAAATGTTATCTTTATTTATTTATCAAATACTTTATTTATATTATTGACCTTACAATAGTAAATAATTACAATAGTTAATAATTTTTATCATCATATGGTGATATGATAGTATAGGTACTACATCTTAATATAGGTATTAATATCACATTCTATTACACACGTCACAGGTAGGCCTCCCTCAATATCTCCGAAATTGGGTATTTACCTTAATCAAAAATAAATTATTTCGACTGTTCAATACAATAAAGTATTAAAAAATAATCACACTTTCATTAATTGATTTTATGACTAACTTCATTTTAGCATTTTTCCAGATTTTTTTAATAAGTAGGCCCTTTGACTCTAACAAAACGTGACAGTCGTTTTTGACAGTTCGAAAAAAGTATTGAATTTGACTAGTTGGCAAGTACCCGATTGGCTGGCTATTAGGAACTTGCATACATTTATGAAGGTAATATATCTAGGTATACAATATTTTATGTTAAAATATAATTCTAGTTCCAATTACATCCTCCTGTAAAATATAACTTTGTATATCATAAAGTAAATTCATAATACATACAGTTGGGCAAACAATACGCCGTTACTGTTATATATATATACGCAAGCACATACCTTCCAATTGTAATTGAAACACTAATTAAATGATTGTGTTAAAATGATTAATTATTGATTAAATTTATAGCTGATAATGATTATTACAGCTACTGTATTGTTTGAAGTAAATTAATTTATTTGTTTCTTTTTTCTTTATATATATACAAGTGCGTAGAGTAATATATTTAATAATATATTTAATAATTATATCTGGTTGATGTTTGAACAGGTATCATGCCAAATCTACGCAATGATTCTAGATCAGTCTGTTGGAAATATTTCATAGGATAGGGCAACAGACGAGCAGACGTATAACCTGATGGTAAGTAATCGGCGTCGCCCATAGACACCCGGAACACCAGACGCGTCATAAGTGCGTTATCGGCCTTTTAGGAATTTGAGGATTGTTGGGGATTTAGAGACTGGGAAAGGGAGGAGGGGTAATAGGGCCTCTAAGTCGGTCAGTTGCAAGTATTTTTATAGGATAGGGCAACAGACGAGTAAGACGGTAAGCAATCGGCACCCCCATGGACACCGGCAACACAAGAGGAGTAATAAGTGCATTGCTGGCCTTTGGGCTTTTGCCTCCAGTACAGTTACTCACCCTACACATATTATTCTACAACATTATTTATTTCATTCATTCCTTTTTTTTATTTTTAAACGTTACCTACCTCACACTAGGGTTTTCTCCTATGTCGTGAGTGCATTTACAAACATATAAATTCACAATGTTTGAATAGTTTCCTAAATCAATAGATTTTTGACAATAATTTCCACTTTGCACCTGTTTTCGTATGTCTCTAATATTAACTGTGGTACACAGGGAGAAAATTATCTAATGACTTCTCTCACCTTGGGTGAGGCGAGACGGAGTGTCAGACGTTTATTGACTAAAGACCACCCCATTCCTACTTCTAGTCTGGAACTTCGGTCATCCGCTAGATTGTCCACAGCTTCGCGTAGTTGCAGGAGCAACAGCTTTAACAAAAGTTGTTAGAGTAATTCCCAGACTGGGCCAATTTTAAAGAAATGTTTATCTTTTATATACTTAAAGCACTTAGGCTTCTACTAAACTACTGGTGGAAAGTGGGTGTTATATTTAATTTAGATACATATGCCTGGTTAATTTCTATAACGCTATTAAATTATTAACAGGCTATAAGTTGCCACTGCTGACCAAAGGCCTTTTCTCACACGGAGAAGGTTTGAGCAAACGCCCTCATGCATGAGAAGCGGAAGTCTTCACCTCCGGGCCACCACGACACGTTATTATGTAATGTAAATAAAAAAAAATACAATAACACTGTATCCAAAGTCTTTATACGAAAAGCTTATCAAAATTGATTCAGCACTTTAACCGATGCAGCATTACAAACATACAAACAAACACATTTACCTATAATACTAACTAAGAATACAAATATTAACAACTTTAAAATGCAAATTCTGCTTCGTCGTACCTACACTACATAAACCAGTTTGAGCTCAATTTTACATTTAGCGTCAAAAGACGAAATGAAAAAACATAAATATCATATAAAGTGATAAATTAGCACCTCTTTGGCGAAACCTCCTTTTGGTGGCTTTTTTATTATTATTTTCCTAAATGCGCGTTTTGTTTTGTCATAGATTTACGTCTTAATTATTATTGTTTCTTTTTATTCATTTTTTTGTTTCCTATTGTTTAGCTATCAACAATTCACATTTATAACTATATTTTTCTATTAAATTATACCTCTATAGCTATTTACGCAACAAAGTATCATAGGTTTTTTTGAGATAACTCCGTCTCAACCTCTTAAAACCGCTGCAACTCCTATGCGCTAGTATCTACAGTAGATACAACAATGAAAACACCGGAACACTGAAGTCCGGCGCGTCCCAGGTTAACCATAATTAAATTAGCTAACCATATTTATTGAACTCCTTTGCTTATCCCTCCAGCGATTAAAAGGCTTAGCATTATGTTTTGTTATAGACATCACATCACATAGACCAATTGTATAAGGATTAAGAAATGTGAACATACTTTTTAAATTTTTAAGTTCTATGTTAATACGACGCGAGTCAATATTTCACACATTTGGCGATCCGGGAAACGAATCCGAGCCGTTAATTTCCGATATCTATCTATCTACACAGGCTTTTTTTAAGGGGTAAAATCATCAAATGACTTCTCCCGCCTGGGTGAGGCGGGAGGGAGTGTCAGGCTCTTACTGACTAGAAACCACCCCGTTCCTATTCCTGCACTTCGAGTCGGAGCTCCGGTAACCCGTTAAGTTCTCCTCGGCTCCGTATTGGCATCAGCCCATCTATATAGGCTTCAGAATTCATATTAACATCAATTTAAAATCGTATCGAATAACCAAGAACTCAACGTAACAATAAATGCATGAATATTTAAATACCTAATAAAAATGAAAAACTAATTTTCCGCTCACAATATTTGCCGTAGGAAAATGAAAGATGTTACACTTTTTTTCCGATTAACTCCCTTTTCATTCCCGTAAGTCCCGATCCCGTGGGCATAGGGATAAAAATTAGCCTACGCTATTCACCAATACGGTAGCGTTCTACAAGTAAAGATTAAAAATTAAAATAATATGTTAGTATAGGTACTTAAAACACGAAGGGCTTCACAAACAAAAAAAACTGTTGTTTTCTCTGTATAATAATTATTGACCTATTTAATTTCATACTAAGAATCAAACAAAAAATTGTCTATTTATCTAGGTTTTAGTGTTTTTAAGCAATGTCTAAATCTAGTTTTCTAGTCGCCGACAGCGGCCGTTATCGATTTAAAAACGCGCCGTCACAGATAAAAAACGTGCTAAAAAATCAATAAAACATTTTTAATCTCTCCAGGCGACAGGTCGAGGAAATAAATTTAAAAATATGTCAAATAAATTAATCAACATATAAATAAAGTAGGCTAGAATTATTTACGGCAAAAATTATTGAGATTTTTGCATAAAAAATAGTTTTGTGGACATATTTTACATGGATGTCAATAACATTAGTTGCTTGTCTATTATTTCATCTATGAGACTAACGGAGCCTTTTCTTTTCGAACCGAAAAAGCCGGTATCAATTTAAAGCGAGTTAGGTTAAGTAAAACAAGAAAATATACTTACGTTTCTAAAAAATCCCACTTGAAGCACTACGTAAAACGATCCTTCATAGTTACAATAATTTTCTCATTGGAAAAACATAACAAAACAGTCCATAGGATACCACACACAGAAACACTAACACTTGAAACGAAAAAAAAAATCGCGTCCGAAAAATTTTCACTAGAAAAAAAACATCAAACGTCAAAAATGCGCGGCAAATAGGAAAAAATGCAGATAAGAAATCGACTATAGACAATAGAAATTTTGACAGATTAATGAAAATTTTTCACAAAAGAGGTTTTAACGTTTCGAACGCTAACTCTATACGCGAATCGACGGCGACTGGCGAACGAGGCTCCCACCCCCCTACTTTAGGCGTGGCAAGCAACATACCCACAATGGGGCGGAGCGCCGAGGTTTTTTTCTATTTATACTTTCTTGGTTTTATTATATTCGTCGGCAGTTTATTATATTGTAATGTCTGACTGTTTGTTCATCATTGTATTGAGTTCGAGATTTTGCGCGTCTTAATTGAGTAGCCTTTTTGTGATAGGACAAGCATGCCGCCATTTTAAGTTTAAACCATTGGGTGGCTTTAATTAGTATACTGCGGCAGTTTTTAGTCTGTGCTTTTTAAAAAATATTATTTTCCAGTGTTCGTTGAATTCGAATTTCAGATTTAACTTGGTTTGTGGGTTAAAGGAAATATTTTGATTTAATAATCAATTTTATTTTGTAAATAAGTTACAACTGTAGTTTTTTACAGATTGTTTTGATTTTGCTCTCTTTACTAAAATTTTTGAACAGTATCGGCCGAAAGTCCTTTGGAGCCTATTACTTGAAATAATACGAAGTACCTCAGAGCAAGACAATTTATTTACGTCAAAGCAGACAACCTAATGTTTTGCCGGTAACGAAACCATAGCTTGAATTTAAATCGGCCAACGCCATCTATCGAGCTATGGGACAACACAATAAATAGTAGTATGGCGTTGGCCGAGTGCATCTTTTAAACAGATTATTTCTACACTGAACATTCCGCCCACCAAAAGGAATATATTCCTTTTCGTACCGCCCACCATGCATAAACTTAACAACTAGGAGAACAGTGGACTGTATGACAATTATATTACTATATTACGAATAATACATCGAGATAGATCTAGTGGACGGCTTCTTTTAGCAGACATTGGCGCGGACAGTTATGGTTTCAATCAAAATGAATAGATATAAGTACAAAAACATTAATCTGGGTGACGAAATTCTTGTTACCGGCAAAAATATCAGGTTGACAAAATTCTGACAAAAACAATATAACTAAACTACTAACTAAACATTGTAATCAATACATGACAGTGCACAAGAGTAAGAGACATTGTTATTTCAACAGTGCAGTATAAGAAAATAACATAATAAAACCTTATCTAAAAACATACGCAACTTAAACAATTAAATCTACAAGATTTTGTGCCTTATTCAGTAACAGGAAGAAAACACAATTTTGAAATTGGACGTTTAATCATAGAGCCCTTACAACGAACAGTGACAACTCGCGTCAAGTTATCTCTACCCGGATGCAGCTCAACAATTCTGCCATACAACCATTTAGCTGGAGGTAAGATATCTTCTTTTATTAAAACTACATCACCTATTTTACAGTCAGGTTTACGAACATTCCACTTATGCCTTTGAAAAAAGTTTGTTAAATACTCCTGTTTCCATCTACGCCAAAAGTGCTGCACCATACGCTGTACTAATTGCCATCTGCGTAAAGTGCTAACTGTGACACTTTCATAGTTGTAGTCAGGAACCATTACCAATGGATGACCCACCAAGAAATGACCCGGAGTCAGAGGTACAGGATCCTCTGGATCACTACTACCCTGAGACAGGGGCCTAGAGTTTAGGCATGCCTCGATTTGGGAAAGTACTGTGGACAGTTCTTCGAACGTCAAAGTGGAGTCACCTATCACACGCTTCAAGTGGTGTTTTACACTTTTCACCCCTGCTTCCCACAACCCACCAAAATTAGGAGCGTGAGGAGGGATAAAATGCCATTCTGTTTGAGAGTTTGCAAGAGCAGCTGCAATGTCTTTGTACATCGAACTCTGTTGGTTGAAAAGCATCTGCAACTCTTTAGCAGCACCCACAAAATTTGTACCATTGTCGCTCCAGATATGACGACAGTGACCGCGCCTAGAAACGAACCGTTTGAACGCTGCCAGGAAACCCTCAGTCGTCAAATCTGAAACAACCTCTATGTGTACTGCGCGCGTAGCCATACATACGAACAAACAGATGTACCCCTTATACGACCGCTGTCCACGACCTTTGGAGACTCTAATGTGAATAGGGCCTGCATAATCGACACCGGAGTTCAGAAACGGCTTACTGGGAGTCACTCTGCAAACCGGAAGTTCTCCCATAAGCTGTTGATTCGTGGTCGCCGAGTATCGAATACAGCGAACACAACGACGTATATAAGCTCGTACAATATTTTTAACCCGACTGATCCAGTACTTGATGCGTATAAAATTAAGTACCAGTTGCTGTCCTCCATGAAAGGTCCTTTCATGAGCGTCGGCTACAATTAACTTAGCCAAACTTGAATCATGAGGAATAACAACTGGGTGCTTTGTATCATCAAGTAATGGTGAATACCGTAGCCTTCCTCCAACTCGCAATATCCCACATTGGTCGATAAATACATTCAACTTATATAAAGAACTCGACCTTTCCAATGGACTCTTATTTTTCAGGGCTGTCAATTCAGCCTGAAACCATTGCTGTTGGCTTTGTTTGATACATACATTCAACGCTTTGTGAATTTCGGAAGCTGACAGGTATTTTGCAACCTTAATATTCGCTTTACGAAGTTTTAATGATTGCAAAAATCTTTTACAATACGCAACAACTCTCACCAAACGTGAAAGTGATGAATACTTAGATCCCCAAATGACTTCAAAATCAGGCACTACGCTGGCAGTGTGAACATTAACTTGCTTTAACTCCTCATTAGTATGAATGGCACTAGGCCGGGTGAAGTCTATCTGAGCATTCCTTAACCAACCAGGTCCATGTTTCCAAAGATCATCACCAAGGAGAAATGCTGAAGACACTCCCCGGGAAGCTATATCTGCTGGATTTTCTTTAGATTTAACATAAGCCCACTGTGAATTGTCTAGCAAACCAAGAATCTCAGAAGTACGATTAGCCACGTAAGTTTTCCATCGACTTGGATGATCATTTAACCAGGCCAAAACAACTGATGAATCCGTCCAAGCATGTATATTTGCCTTAGGAATGTTCATTACTTGAGCTACATCAATCAATAATTTTGCTACTAAAACAGAACCGCACAACTCCAGCCGTGGAATGGATATTTGCTTGATGGGAGCTACCTTTGTCTTTGCGGTTATGAGGTGCGAGTGTATTTGCCCATTAGCATCGACAATGCGACAATACACCACAGCCGCATAAGCTATATTTGACGCATCGCTAAAGCCATGTAACTCCATTGTAATATCTTTTTCGCTTTTATGTATCCATCTAGGAATGTGAAAGTTTACCAGTTTCTTTAACTCTGCTCTATAATATGACCATTCTTGTAAGAGATTTGGTGGCAGTTCATCATCCCAGCCGATTCCACTAATCCATAGCTTTTGTATGAAAACCTTCGAGGTTATAATGCACGGTGCTATCCAACCCAACGGATCATAAAGCTTTGATATCTCTGATATAACCGTCCTTTTTGTTTCAGGTGCAGCAGGAGGTGACATCTTCACAGAATAATCAAATTCATCAGTGTTCCGGTTCCAGGTAAGTCCTAAAATCTTAGTTATACTATCCATTTTTATTTCAAGGTCTCTACCAGAAGTTTCCTTCAACGTTTCCAAAATGGATGGTCTATTGCTTGTCCACTTTTGCAATTGGAACCCCGCTTTCTCTAATAGACAATTCATTTCATCATAAATTAGTTTTACTTCTGTTTCAGATTGACACCCAGTCATCAGATCGTCCATATAGAAGTCTGACTTCACCCTTTCAGCAGCCATTGGATACCTCTCGCCTTCATCGCACGCAACTTGCTGCAACGACTTTACAGCTAAGTAAGGAGCGCATGACGTACCAAAGGTGACAGTCAGAAGTCGGTAATCCTCGATCTCTTTGTTTGGATTCTCTCTCCAAACAATTCTTTGATAATCTGTATCAGGTCGAGCGACCTTGATTTGGCGATACATTTTGACGATATCGGCAGCCAGACAGATCGGATGTTGACGCCATCTCATGACAATATGTCGCAAATCTGCCTGAAGAGTGGGTCCTACCATTAAGGTGTCATTTAAGGAAACCCCGTTCGTTCCCTTACATGACGCGTCATAAACCACTCTTACCTTAGTGGTTAATTTATCCTGTCTAACCACTGCGTGATGAGGCAAATAAACAGCATCGTTTTTATTTATTTCAGCCTTATCAACGATTTTCTCCATATGACCAGCAATAAATATTCTTTTATTACATCAGCATACTGTTGTTTTAATTCATCATCCCTACCCAGCTTCCTTTCTAAACCTAGCAATCTTTTTACAGCTATATTTTTAGAATTACCGTATTTACAAAGTGGATCTTCGGAACGAAAAGGTAATTTTACGACATATCTCCCATTGACATCTCTAACTGTCGATTGTGCGTAAAACTCTTCGCAGGCCTGTTCTTCAGGCGTGAGAAGCTTTTTCGTTATAGCAGGTTCGGAATCCAATTCCCATAAACGTTTTAACATATCATTCTCTTCTATTTGAGTGTACATCGTGATTATAGTATTATGAGAATTTAGAGAGCTATCTGCCTTACTGACATAGCCTGACACAATCCAACCTAAATGCGTGTCTTGTGCGACCGGAGAGCCTGTAGGACTCTTGATCAGACCTTCCTTTAAAATACGGCAGTATACTTCCCCCCCTAATAAAATATCAATTTTATTAGAACGACTGAAATTTGGGTCGGCTAGACGTATGCTGTGAATTTCTGGCCAATTGTCAAGGTTGACATTCTTATCTGGCATAACCGATGTCAGTGAACGTAGTACATGCGCAGTTACGTTTATGGTATAAGAGGAATCATGCAACGATTGAATATCAATATTCACTACATGTTTAGAAACGATCTTGCTATGCTCACCTCCTATACCTGCAATAGTAGTCTTTGAGACTACTCTCCTTAAACGAAGTAATTGCGCAGCTGACTCAGTTATAAAGGATGCTTGTGATCCTTGATCCAACAAAGCTCTCAAAACCTGAGAGGACCCATTTTGTGATTCGGCTTTAACCAAAGCCGTGGCTAACAAGACCTGACCCTGCGTTTGTTCATTCACAAAATGAGATGCTATACT